AATTTATTGTGACTCAAAACAGACATAAAAAAGCCAAATACATAACAATTCCTACTGGCCATATTCCTCGATATTGAAAAAGCATTTGATCTAGTATGGCATTTTGGTTTTTCAAAAAAATGTAAATATTATGGTATCAATGGTAGGTTATTTAACTTCATCAATTACAAAGACTTCCTGCAAGGTAGAAAAATACAAGTTAAAGTAAATCAAGAAGTCTCAGACGAATATGACATCATCAATGGTATCCCACATAAAGGTAGTGTCATCAGCCTCACATTATTTAACATCATGATTGATGATTTTGTAAGTCAAGCAAAAAACACCTGCAGTCATGTCACAACTTGCTGATGACAGTGCCATGAGGTATAGAGGTATCTCACCAATAAAATGCAAGAAACACTTATATATATAATTAATAACATCAGAGCATGGTCCAAAAAGAGGGGTTTTAAAATCTCTAAAACAAAAACAGAAGATGTTATATTTGGGGATAGTAAAATTTCTTCAGTCAACCTAATGTTAGATAATTAACCAATCAAATTTCAATCGCATGTCAAATTCCTTGGTCTCATATTTGATTGAAAGTCGAAATGCAATTAACACATAAACTATTTAGAAATAAATGGGGAATGTGTCCATGGGACACAGATGATGCCCCCGCTTGCATATAACGTGATAAAGGGACATAACTCAAGAAGGGTAAAAGTGACGCTACCCAAATTCAAAATGGATCTGTGTTTTGTGGTAATAAGCATTGTGTATACGTTTCATAACATTTGGTTGAGGCAAACTAAAGTTAGAGAACAGAAACGAAAAATTCAGCAATTTTTCCATTTGTAAAGGGGCATAACTCTAGAACGGTAAAAGTGACGCCACCAAAATTAAAACTTGATCTGTGTTTTGTGGTAATAAGCATTGCGTTTAACTTTCATAACATTTGGTGGAGGCAAACTAAAGTTAGAGAAGGGAAACCAATTTTGGGACGTACATATGCACGGACGGACAAGGATAAAACTTAATGCCCCCTCTGCTACGGCGGGGGCAAAAAAAGATATAAAGTAATATTTAACCTACTCAGGTATGTTCAAGCAAACAATTTTGGCATGGGTACTGATTCACTTCTTATCTATATAAATCACATCTAAGATCGATACTGGACTATGGATGCCAAGCATCATTATCCGTAAAAACTAAACTAGATAAAATACAAGCCCAAGGTCTTTGCATAGTACTGGGGGCCCACAAGTCAGCCCCCTAAGAAACAATACTAGCTGAGTCAGGTGAGATGCCATTACAATTAAGAAGAGACCACCTTTCACTTAAATATTATGCTCGTAGTAAACAAAATCAAACAAATCCAGCTAATCAATTAGTAGAATACAACATTATAAAGGGACATAACTCACGAACGGTAAAAGTGACACTACCCAAATTCATCTTGATCTGAGTTTTGTGGTAATAAGCATTGTGTATAAGTTTCATAACATTTGGTTAAGGCAAACTTTAGTTAGAGAACGGAAACCAAAAATTCAGCAATTTTTCCATTTGTAAAGGGGCATAACTCTAGAATGTTAAAAGTAACGCCACCAAAAAACAATTGGTTGAGGCAAACTAAAGTTAGAGAACGGAAACCAATTTTGGGACATATGGACAGACGGGCGGACGTACAGACGGACAAGGGTAGAACTTAATGCCCCCTCCGCTACGGCGGGGACATAAAAATCCACATATCATTAAGTCAAAAGCGCTAGTCACAATACCGTACATTGACACTGCATATAAAGTTCATTTCAAAATATACACCAATGGCTCAAAAGATCCAGCCTCAGGTAAAACTGGATACACCTTTATTATACCATCAAAAAAGGTTGCAAGATATAAACGTATATATCTGAAAATCTTTCAGTGTACACTACAGAGATGACGGCCATTTATCAATCATTAAATTGGTTAATTTTTCAATCAAAAGTCAGAGCAAAAAGTTGTTATCCTCACCGATTCATATAGTGCTTATGATCCATTCCACATGATCCATTCTATACAAAATGATTTATCAAGTATACCCGACATTCTAGAACCAATTCAATTACTAACTTGCAGACTCAAACAGAAAAATATAGAAGTGATCACCATAGAATGAATCCCAGCTCATTTTGGTATCCTAGGTAATGAATAGATTGATAAACTAGCAAAATTAGCCTTAACTAAAGATAAAATAGATATTAACATTAATGTTAGTGCAAACGAATTCATTGCAATAACAACATCATTATATATATATAAGAAAAAATGGCAAGATACTTGTGACAACTCATGCTTTTCATGGAGTTGTTCTATAAATCATAGTTTAAAAAAAGCCTACTTTCAACAAAGGTAATCCATACCACGCAAAAACAATAACTAGGCTTAGGTTGGGACAATACCACTTTAAATTCATGCGGCACTAAAGAAGATATAGAACAAGTACTAATGACCTGTACTAAACACTCAAAAGCTAGACAAAATTTGCAATAAGACTTAAATATGGTTCATATGCAAAACCTCAATATCAAAATATTACTAGACCCTCCAAAAAGAAAATCAACAGTATGTCTGGTCGTGCTTAGCTCAATATATTACAGAAAACGGTTACCACAAATTTATGTTTAACAGTACTATAAATAAGTTTCTCTAAACTAACCAAGCCTATTGCAAGAGTTCCTGGTCAGTGACCATTATACGAACCCAAAAAAATTTTTTGCGGTCGTATAAAAAATGGACCCAAGTGAGCTTCCCCAATTTACAACAGCTTTTTTTTCTTCAGGAAAATCACTTTCCAAAATTCAGAAAAGATTAACGAGGTATCCCTTAAAATTTTAAATGCAGAGCAAAAAATACCCAACAATTATGGCAAACACAAATATTGGCCTTGTGTCATGTGTAGTTTCATTTCAAAACCACATAAAATTTCTTTTGTAACTCTTGCAATGGGGAATTTTTGCACAATTTTTTTTTTTTAAATTTGAAGCCCAGAGATAAAATTCAATCTCAATAAACAAAACTTGTAAGAGTTGCGGAAGAACCTTTTTCTGAGAAGTTGGGATTACGCTTTATTCTAGCAGCAATTCGTCATTGGGCCCTTATTTTCACAGTGGTTCAGGATTAAACAGGCGTGTATCAACCTGTACACAAAATTGCAGTTGTGTACACATCGAACATTTGACAAAAATAAAAATATGGTAAATCTAGTAAGAATAAAACTAAAGTAATAAACTAAATTAAATAATAAACATTGCTCAACTTCCTATATCTGTTGGAGACACAATCTTTGATGAATATGTAGATGATGCCCATGTTACAAAAAGAATTTCGATTGGAAATTCAGAGATGGTTAGCAAAACGGACTGGAGATTTTGATGATATTCCTAACAACTTACAGGAAACATTAAATGTTATAAACAAGGATTTATACCCGGGATTCTTTTAATATACTTAAAATATTTGCATGTATACCAGTCTCATCAGCAACATTGGCTAGAGGTATAGGGGAAGGATCGAGATCTCACTAAACATGTTTAACCCTGCCCTATTTTTGCGCCTGCCCCAAGTCAGGAACTTTGTTCGTCTTGTATGTTTTTTTTTTAAATTTTGGTTCATTAATATGTTTCGGAGTTTAGTGTGACGTCCATTTTCGCTGAACCAGTATACATTATTGCTTAGGGGCCAGTTGAAGCCTGCCCCTGGGTGCAGGATTTCTCGCTGTGTTGAAGACCCATTGTTGGCCTTGGGCAGTTTTCTGCTCTTTGGTCAGGTTGCTCTCTTTTTGACACATTCCCCATTTCCATTCTCAATTTTATTTCAGTATGATGAGAGTAAAGACCTATTTGAGAAATAGAACATGTAGAATGAAAACCAATCGTTTATCTGGGCTTGGTCTATTGAACATACACATGTACCGTGAAAAACAAATTTCAGCAGACACAGTTTTGCACATCTCCAGTAGAAGAAAGGGAAAAAAATGGTCCTTGATTTTTCAGAATTAACTTTAGAAATTTGTTTTTTCTTATGTATAGTGGGTTGAGCCTGATTAGGTAACAATTAAAATATATGGTGGTGGCACCATATATTTTAAATGTACTTAATACCTTATCAAGCTCAACCCACTACACATTAGAAAAAGCAAATTTCTAAGCCAACAGTACTTGTTTGTTTTTCTCTAAGTATTCTTTTTTTTCCAAATTTTTTTCAAAAGTTGACTTGTAAATCATGAAAACAAAATTTCTGTGATGTCATTTTAAGTCACAGGAAATTGCAAGAATGCAGGATTTTGCACCATTTACCCCAGAGCTTCCCCATTCCCCCTGGCGTATGACTTTCTCCGCATTGATCATGCAGTACACATCATGTTGGCCTAGCTACGACCCTATTAAACTCTTATCATGCTTATCAGGACTTGGTAATTAATGATTAAATTTTCTGGATCTGGGAAAGAATACTTTATTTTTTATGGAATTCAGGATGACCTCCCCTCCTACTGCCCTTCTTGTACATTGTTTTAACAACATTCATTATCAGGTTAGTAATTATCTCCCCTAAAACCGTATCTTCCCCCTAAATTATCAGGCATCCAACATAAAGGTGGGTTCTAGTATGGGGACACCTGAAATTTTGTCATAATTCATTATAAAAAGTGTCCATAAAAATTTTGGGATAGGCATGTTGAGACATAAACAATAGGATTGTTAGTCATGATACTGTTAGCGATACCCTGTAAAAACAAAAGTATATTTTCATTTTGGTCACATTACTATCGTCTTGTCATGACAGATTATATTAAAAACAAAAAGTTTGCGACATGACACCATTTTTTACCGTTTGAAATGTATTTATAGATATAAAAAATGTACTGTTACTGTACATGTATGCAACTGTTTACAATAAGAAATCGTGATGTACTGAATAACCCAGTTTTAAAATTGTCTTTTTTTATATAACATCATTACAATATAAAACTTTACCTGTTCTAGGTTAAAGATAACAAAAATTATACTCAAAATATCCTTAATTCATTGATATTCGAGAGTGAACATACTAGATTTATCAAATCATTGCTACCACACTGGACTGAGATAACCTTGACACAGATAAAACAACAACAGTGCTCTCCCTTATTTTTAACCGGATTTTCGTCATTACAGAAAAGCTCGTAGGAACTGGACGGACTTGCTTTAAATATCTGTCTGGTCTTTCGGCGTTTTTTTTTCATCAAATGAATCAAATTCGGTACAAAATAATCAAATTATATCAAATTTGACAAAACAACGATATTAAACAACACAAGAATACACAAAAGTGCAGTATGAAACCAGAATGAGAGACTCTGCATGACGATATTGTGGAAATTAAAAGAGAGATATAGTGAGAAAGAGACAGGACCATTGGAAAGACTGACATAACTGCATCTCAGAGGCGGATTAAAGGTGGGCAGGGGGCTGCGATCCCGGATTCCCTTATGGAGCGGTATCGGGTCCGTTCACCCACAGAGTGCGGTTTGCCCTATTTTTATAAAAAAATATATATTACATATGATTTGTATAATGGTTTATTAAACATATTTAGATATTTATATGGTAAATATGAAAGAAAATATATAAATTTATCAAAATTCATAAAAAAAAAATTGGAAATTTTTAAAAAATGATTAAATTTCTTGGCTTCATTGTTACATATGGACCCTGGGACATAATATATTTTTGGTATAATAATCCCAGATTGACCTGGATTCTTATGGAGGCTGAGACTCCGAGCTACATTTAAGGTTAATACAGACTTTTCCCGGTTCCACTCAAACTTTGGTCTAGTTTGGGTCCCGGGGAACCCCTTTTTCAAACTCCTGGTTCCGCATCTGCATCTGTATTTTTTGTGTAGACGTCCACAAATGTACAATATAATATACATTACAACTGTACAATATAACGGTACATTGTCGGAAAAATAAAATTTATTTGTATGAACTTTAGAAAGAGGACGAAAAGCGAGGCTCGCCGAGCTTTTCTCATGTTTCGTAGCGAGTACTGTAACAAATAAATTTCATATTTCAGACAATGTATATATATATTGTTTTATCCTGCAATTTACACCAGGCACTTTTTAAAATGTTTAGTTGTTTAAATCCAACTAGTCTAAAAAAAAAAATCATAAAAATCGACAGGTACCAATCAGGTCAACATCCAGGAATTGATGATTGCTTATATAATTAATTGCGGACCGCGAAGAGGCCTGACCACAAAATGGAATGTTACGCAAAAAGAAATATTCATACTACCGTTCGCTCAACATCGGAGTAGGATAACAGGAGACTGTATTTGTACAAGTACAAGTACAAATACAAATAACGTAAAAAAATATATGTACCTGTGTTATTTATACAATACTTAGCTGATTGCAGGATAAAGAAAACGGATGATTAAGTACCGGTAGTATAAATTGAAGATTTATACATGCATTGAGAACTTGCTAAAACTGTCCAATGTTATATGTCAGCTGGTCATATTTTATTGGGGAGCGCCGTTCATCGAAAGAAAAAGTGTATAATACATCATCGACATGTATAGAGATGCAAATAAACTCATCATAGTGGAGTGATTGCCACTGAGACAACTATCCACACGAGTTTATATGAAATGGAAGTTATATGGTATATAATTTATAAAGGACACTGTAGAAAAGAGGCGAAAGATACCAAAGGGACATTCAAACTCAAACTGTAGATTGTGAAAGCAAATAATTGTTAAGATTTCAACAAAGAAGAAGAAAAACGAAATTTTGATATCAAGTATTTCGATATATCATATAAAAAACTACATCTTCAGATGCAAGTTAAGAAATATAGCTCCTAGTGAAACAGGACTAAAATCCAGAATAAAACAATACCAATCTAATGAATTTTAGATTGCAAACCAAAATAATAGAGCAAATGCTTATGAATTATTCTGGTCCGGCCATCGCATAACATATTTTCGTGATTTATTATTTATCATTCTTGATACTTTTAAATAATACTGTGTTTAACCAATATGTATAGACACGCGTATGCATACTAATGGTAAGAATGCATGGTGATTGTGTGTTAGTAGTGAGTGAAAGTGTGGGTAGCTTTTTTCTCTCCGGTAAATTCTTGTATAATATATATGAATTAAAAAAAATGGATAGTCTTGTACATTTTATTCAATGTTTACCCCACAAATCATAGTCAAAGAGTCATTGTAGGGGTATTGTAAAATCCTACTGAAAACAAATAAAAGGTAAAAAAGAAAAAAAAAACTATCCACAGGAGATCAAAGGACGAGGGTGCAAAGAACCATAGGTCGACCCCGATAAGAATGAGCAAAACTCATGCAAGGCCATGGCATGACAAAATGCAATAGAATAGAAGATAAAACCAGAAAATCATGGGTCTAATCCATACTAAAACTATAAACGAAAATCGAATTTGGCAGACAGCAAAACACATATATATGACAGAAAGCAAACCCGTTTCACGACGTTATGAATATGAATTGCTGCATAAGTGAAATTATAAATAGTTCTGGCAGTGTTGATGAATATCAATTATTTGTAACCTGCACATAATTTACACAGGCCTAGGGACTAAGGTATCATATAAAGAAATGAAATTTGCCCCAGTGACTGTGTACATGTATTCAAACACTCACGAGTTTCCCAAACGTTTGGCTCTGAGTCTTCCTGTTGCAGTCAAATTCAGAAATGCCAGTACGCAAAGAAGATGGCGAATTCGTCAAGTTATATTTTGATTTAACATCATTATACCAATCGCCTTTCGAATTGTATGAAAATGAGCATGCAGTAACCCGATTTTTAGTCATCTGTTTATATATTGTGCTTAGGTGCACATCTTACACGGAGGTAACACTAATTTGGGTAGAGATTCGCACAAAACCAACAATATTAAGTGTTTAGTTAGTGTTTAATTACACATAGGTGAATGATACATAACATGTGTTTTGGTGTTAACACTCAAACACGCCGTTTTTCTGGAATAGTTGTCATAAATGTGGTGTAACTTTTGGTGTAACTTTTCGTCCTTTTTTTACAGTGTGTAGAATTTAATTGTGTTATGATTTATTACTTGTATGATATGAGATTTGTTTCAGTTTACCAACTTTTGACTTCATTTATATGGGAATCAAACATACAAAAATCAATTTACCTCCGTTGTAGGCAAATAGATATATAACTGATAATATAAAAGATACATATATGTAGTTAGTATTTACAGACCATAAACAATTTTTTTTTTATTTGGCAACTTTAATCTTTATGCGTGGGCCATTGGCCTTTTTTCATGAAATGTCTGTAATCATTAGCAGCACCCTATCGACGCACCCGGTCACTTCACGTATATTTATGCGATGATTTTTTTCAATGTTGGTATATTCCAAATAGAGTTTACGAGTTTAGAACACCAGTTAACGTCCTATTGTTTATTTTACCGATAGGAAGAATTAAATTTTGCAAAGCCGGATTGATTTATGTATTTTCAAATAAATCTACATTTGACTTAATTTATTGCGATCATTGAACTTGGTTGATCAAAATGACTTATATTTTATCGAACAAAAACGGCTCAATTAAAGTTATGAGGAAGAACGACTGAAATTGACACTGCCGTAGCTTTTACGCCGGCCGTGTCACCGTCACGAATGAACTGGTTTACCGATACGATGTGTCGGTGTCACAACTGAATAGCGACATGTTTTCGAGGTCTTACATCTTTAGATATCAGTATACTTGTCTGATCTGTAATATTTATCGCTTTCGTCCTATATTGACATTTTGACTGATTGTGGATTCGCCATGGCGGGAGATTGCATGCAAAACAGGAGACGTTTACCATGTCGACGTATCCGGTCTCGCTCCTTTTGGATTTCATGCGACTCCCTCATTTTTTGTTTGATACTTTGATTTGTATCTTCTTAATCGATTTACGAGATTTGGACATCGGAAAACTACTGTCACCTTAATTCAGACATGTCTTGTATTTTTTTAGTTTTAGTTCATTTATATGTTTTGGAGTTTAGTGTGACGTCCATTTTCACTGAACTAGTACACATTTTTATTTAGGGGCCGGCTGAGGCCCGCTTCCGGGTGCGGGATTTTCTCGCTGTGTTGGAGACCCATTGGTGGCCTTCGGCTGTTTTCTGCTCTTTGGTCGGGTTGTTGTCTCTTTGACACATTCCCCATTTCCATTCTCAATTTTATGCCAGTATCGATCATCGACTCCGATTTTTTGGTACGTATTTGTGTTATGAGATGTAACATAATGAAATTCCGTAAACTCAGCTGGCCTAATTATACCGAGGGTGGTAAAAAAAGTGTCATTCAGATCTCATGAGAGTTAAACTTAGCTAGCCGAATAATAATGAGGATAATGTCAGTCAGATCCATGAAAGTTAAAGTTAGCTAGCCGAATGATAATGAGGATAATGTCAGTCAGGTCCCGTGAAAGTTGAACTTAGCTAGCCGAATAATAATGAGGATAATGTCAGTCAGATCCCATGAAAGTTTAAGTTAGCTAGCCTAATAATAATGAGGATAATGTCAGTCAGATCCCATTAAAGTTGAAGTTAGCTAGCCGAATGATAATGAGGATAATGTCAGTCATATCCCATGAAAGGTGAAGTTAGCTAGTCGAATAATAATGAGGATAATGTCAGTCAGATCCCATGAAAGTTGAACTTATATTTAGCCGAATAATACGGTGAGGATAATGTCAGTCAGATCCCATGAAAGTTGAAGTTAGCTAGCCGAATAATAATGAGGATAATGTCAGTCAGATCCCATGGAAGTTGAAGTTAGCTAGCCGAATAATAATGAGGATAATCACGGTCAGTCAGATCCAATGAATTGACCGTCTTTTTACCTATTATACAATTACTTGTTAGACTGGAAATGATGAACCTTGTGTAAAATTGTCATGATAATGTTCTATTGTTTTTTTTTAAAATTTTATTGCAACAATAAATATCTCATATTCATTTTCACTATTATTATTGGATGAATTCCTCACTCACAAGCGGAAACGGAAACTCCAACCAAAAGTGTTACGTCTGAACGGGATCTAG